GTGTGTGTGTGTGTGTGTGTGTGTGTGTGTGTGTGTGTGTGTGTGTGTGTGGTTCAGGTGTTTCCCATGTGGTGAGGACCTACATCATTAATTTCTCAGGTGAAGACAGTTAAGGTTAAAGTTAAGGTTCAGTTTACGTTTAGGTATAGATTAAGGGTTTTAACTTAATCTCTGTATAGATTAAGTTAAAGTCAAAGTTAAGGTGAATGTGAAGTTGAAGTGAACGTTAAGGATTAGATTAGGGTTAAGGTTAGGGAATGTTAAGGTAAGGTTAAAGTAAAAGTTAAAGTTGAGGTCGAGATTAAGGTCAAAGTTAAAGTTAAAGTCAAAGTTAGAGTTAAAGTAAAGGTTAGGTTAAGGTTTAGGTGAAGGTGAATGTAATGTCCTCTGAAGTCATAGAGACTGAGTGTGTTGAATTAGTAATTATCTACAGTTACTGGATACTTATTTTTAAAGTTACCTCATCAATGCTGCCTGATAAACGTAATGAGTTACTAAAGGAGAAGTAACTTTCTGCAGATATTAAAACATATCTGTGGTGTTTTATTGTTTCTGTGACACAGTGAGAACACAACAGTCAGATTTTATCGCTCACTCTTCACATTATCACCATGAGGTCGTGGAGCAATAAAACACGACCGACATGTTGTGATTGGCTCATTTATTTCAGCCTCAGCAGGTTTTCAAACTGTGAGTCAGTAAAACTGTTCTGACAGTGAAATGAAATGAAAATAAAAAAGTTTTGATCTGCTGGTGAAGTTTGAAAGTGAATTTATGGCTGAATTTAAAGAAGGATGACGGAAACTAGATCAATGCACAGAGAACAAACGTTTTGATGACGTCTTTAAATCTAAAAATGGTTTGTAAGTGAGTCGTCTTCAGACTGATCCTTGACACACACTCAGCTCAGACGCTCATGATGCTGCCAGATGAAACCCTGTGTGTTTACAGCAGCAGGTTCAGGATCATTTAGAGACGACTGAAGACTCATTCATTCCCTCAGACCGTCTCTGGACCAGAACATCACAACTTTACTTTCTCTCCTCTTCTCCGCTCTCACATGTTCTTTTTCACTAATTCCCTCAGTTTAAAGTTTTCTGTGTAACAGTTTAATTCTTTCTCATTTACAGTTCACGAGTTAAGACACACAACTCACTTCATTCACAGAGAAGAACAACAGAGTCTTTCACACAGAGGTCAGAACCTCTGTCTATAACAAGGGCAACCATGTGTGTCTCCAAGACCACACACACACACACACACACACACACACACACGTACATGCACGCACACAAATGCACACAACTATTTTAACAGTGGAAATTCTGCCGCCATTTATGGATAAATCATTATTTTACTATTTAGAAGCTCGTTTATAATCATACGTCCGCAAGGTTTGGACACGCAACATTAAAAATAATCAGAATCAAAGCAGCGGTGGTTATTTTATCCCGACCGGAGCTCTAACAGTTTCATGCATAACTCAAATAACTTGAGGAACTCGATCCATCAAACCGAAGCTTTCGTTAATCTGTGTGACGGACAGCTGCTCTGCGGTCATCGTGTCTCCCACAGAACATTCTCACTTTCACCTAACGTGCCGAGAAATATCGATAAACTTTGAGCATATGTCAGAGACGTGAAAGCTTCAGAGGAGGCCGACGATCACACGAATAAATCCACAGCAGGAATGAACACAACATAAATAACTGCTTTGAAGCACTAACAGCGTTAATGAGTCTGGTGTCGGTCCTGGTGACTCGTCTCTAAACTTTTTAAGACTCGTAAACTGACCACATGGTTCAGTGTCGACTCCCTGCAGAGCTGCGGCAAGGGTTCGAAAGTACTTTGAAATACTTTTTGCGGATAAATTATATATAATGGCACTGAGACTACATATCAAGAGTGAAATATTTACGTTTACTGATGACACACTCTGTTAGGTTGGATTACTTTCAGATGTAATCCATTACTTACTGCAAATTACATGCCAGTTTTTCTACTCGTGACAAAATCCCCCAAAAGTAATCAAATCATCGGATTTTGGTTTAAATAAGCAGCTCCACCGAGAGGTGGAGGCCAGAGTCACGTGTTTCCAAGTATCTGTCAAATCGAATAAAACTGTAAAACCCCTAAAAGCTCCAGTGAAGACGATCCTGACCTTTGACCTCAGTGAGGACGGAGGGAAAATTTGAACCTAAAGATTTATGAAGATTTACTCACCCTCTCTAAAATGTGTCCTCTCTTCTGCAGGACATGTCAGTGATGGAGGGAGAGTTAGAAATCCTCCTGGGAGAGCTGCACATCAAAATGAAAGGTACACACACACACACACACACACACACACACACACACACACACACACACAGTCCCGCAGCAGTAATCCGTAACACGGTATTTTCCAAATATCCAACATGTGTTTTCACTCTCAGGTCTGATCGGATTCGCTCGACTTTGCCCCGGAGACCAGTACGAGGTCAGTTCTTCTATTCAAAGACACTTTGTCACTTTGTGAGAGAAATCCAACAAAGACACGTTTCTCCACTTGACTAAAAACTGAGTCAGCGATTAAACACTGAAGTCGTTTCACAAACATTTTCCCTCAGATGGACGTTTTGATGAGAACTCATTTGTTATTGTTTGGACAATAACCCAAATATTATTGAAGGTGATTAAGGGGGTTTGGATCGTTCAGAACAAACAAACAAACAAACAAACAAACACATTTCAAATGAGAAATCAAAGTTATTTTGAGATCCGCTTGTGTAATCGTACCTGCTGTCGTGTGTCTGATCGGCGATGTCATTTGTCGATGATGTCACATGACCAGGTGGTGGTGCGGTTGGGCCGCCAGCGATGGAGGATCAAAGGGAGGATCGAGTCCGACGACACGCAGTCCTGGGACGAAGAGGAGATGGTCTTCCTCCCGCACATACACCACAACTTCGAGATCAAGGTCACACACACACACACACTCACACACACACACTCAATAAATATATATAGAACAATATAACACTCTGGAAAGATGTATTTTAAATAATAAGTACTTCTGATAGACCTCATAGTACATTTACTCATACTTGCTAACTACTACTACTAGTTATTCTTAAGTATTTCAATTCTTCCACCTTTACTTTTATAAACAGTACTGTGAGTATGATTACTTGTGTACTTGATACCAAATCTGTTCATTTGTGTAACAGGTATGTCTCTGTGTGTGTTTCCCGTCCCTCAGGTGACGGAGGCGAAGGGTTTGGGTTGGCTGCTGGTCGGCATGGTGACGTGTGCGAGCGCAGACTTTTTCGTGGCGAGGCCGCAGCTGATGCTGGTCGACATCACGGAGCTGGGAACCATCAAACTGCAGCTGGAGGTCACGTGGAAGTACGGACGCACACGTCACACACACACGAACACATTAGACGTAGAGAGGACGAGAGTTTCTCTGAGTTACGACATGAACGTGAGAAACGAGGTTGAAGAGGTGAAGCTCAGAGTTCAGTGGGGGAGGACGAGGTGGTGAGGAGAGGACAGTGAATGATGTGGTGGAGAATAGGTGCCGACAGCTGGGACAGGAAATAAAATGTGGCGTGAAACATGAGGACGTCTTCTCTGGATTTTTGTCATGACCTCAGACCCCTGGTTGATATACATCACATTAAATGACGTGAGTGACAAGTGCAGCTGGTTCAAAACATCAGATTCCTTCTGTCATTTAAAAAGAGAAGTGAAGAAATGAGGCTGAGAACATTTTCCTGTTTCTCTTTCCTCTCTCCTCCTCCTCCCCCGATAGTTTCAATACATCTACTATATTTTATTTATCTTCTAAAGTTCCTCACTTCACCACATTTTGCACTGAAGCAAAACAGCTTCAACTGTATGTTTTGGATTATTTCAGATTCACATTCAGACACAATCTCCAGAAAATCTGTTGTTTTCATCATCTTCTGCCTTTTACTAACCTGAGCAGCTCGAACACACACACACACACACACACACACACACACACACACAGTCAGGTCACATTTCAGGCTTTAGAGGAGGTGGTGGAGGAGGACCAGGTTTCCTTCTCCTCACAGAGATGGAAATTTGAATGCATGAATGTCAGGTTGCCTGCAAGGTGAGGAGCGGTTAAAAAAAAAATCAAGACCATAAAAATGTTCCCGTCCGTGAAGGAATCAAGTCTCATGAGACAAAACAGAAATACTTCCAGGTTTATTCTCAAGTTGGTGACATTTACAGGAACACGTAGCAGAGCTCCGATATTTTGTATATTTGGGTGAACTGCGCATTTACATATATGTGGTACGGATGCATACGTGTACCGTGTGTCATGTTGTGTTTTCACCTTCAGTCCGTTCGACAGTGTGGAGAAGATGAGGCCTCTGTCCGTCAGCAGACAGTCAGTGTCCAGCAGGAAGAGTTCAGTGTACAGCTGGACGGCCCCGAGTACCCCGTCCTTCACCGAGAAGTACTTCATCGTGAGTACACACACGCAGACACACACACACACAAGTCTTTTAAATATATATAAATAACATTTACCATGATCTCTGTTGTTTAAATTGTCTCTCTCACGTGACTAAAAGCAGGATGTGAACCAAACTTAACTTAATACTCTGCTTTTTAAGTTTCTTAAAAAACAACCTGCAGCCACATTTCATCACCTGATCTTTTCTCTGCTGTTACAGTTAGAGTCCAAACTGACTTTAATCATTTGATATTTACATGAATATCTCTGCAGTCGATGGTGCGTGAGCTGCAGCATCGAGAGGGGTCCCTCCCGTCCCTCGTGTCCAAGAGTCGTCACAACAGAGGAGACGTGTCTCTGCTCAGCTACTTGTCCAACCCCGTCCACAGCCCAAGGAGCCCCTATACCCCGAGGTACGCAGTGAATCAGCTGGTAAACAACATACATGTGGACATTATACAGCTTTGATCATTCTGTTTGATTGTTGGATGAAACAAAGGAGCTCAGTCACAATGAGGCAGGTTCGTTTTTCAGTGGCCACAAAACGTCTTGGTGAAATGATGGTGGTTTCGGTCTTTAAAACAATAATCATGATACAAATATTTGTAATTATTTTTCATTCTTAATGTTTAATTCATGTTTTATCTTGATTTTTGGAATCTTAAAGGGTTTGTGGGCCTTGAGCAGGTAAAAGTATTGAGTATTTCCCAGGAGAGATTACAGAGAAGTGTTAACACAATGAATACATTTAAGATTTATCTTTGTTCCCCTGGAAGAAGCTGAACTTCTGCAAAAACGCAAACTGTTGCTTTTAAAGATCGTCTTGGGAAATAAGAGAAATCAGCCTCAGTTTCATGTGTGAAGGTTTTAACATGCAAGCATGTGACTGATCTGCAAACTGGAACTCCAACAACCTCACTGTGCAGTAAAAGATTTATGTTCATATTTATATTTTATATCCTCCACATGGAAATCGATTCCTCCGCAGTCTGACTCGGGCTCACAGTTACCCCTCCAGCCCCAGTCAGGGCCCCAGTCTGGGGGGAAGCCAGACCCAGCTCTCCCTCGGGGAGGAGGAGGGATCCCTGGAGGGCTCCTCAGAGGAGAGGGAGGGGAGCAAGAGGATGGATGAGAGGGAGGAAGAGGAAGATGAGGAGGGATGGGGAGGAGAGTTAGAGACTTCGTCGACATCAGCGAAGAGTAAGACGGGATCTCTGCAGAGGTGAGGACAAACTAAATCTGAATTTGTGAAATGTTGGTGTTTTTATTTAACCTATTAAAGTTGAGTTTGTTGCCTGAGGTCAAATCTAAACTTAAGTAAAATGTGTGTTGTTACTCAGGTGCAGCACTCCTGACATCCTCAGACAGAACCCAGCTGGAGAAGCAGATGCCGAGACTCACAGTGCAGCTCTGAGGCAAAACACCGTCAGTGAGAAGAAGGTGGAGTCTTGAATTCATCCGGTCACATAAACACTGAGTTAACGCTTCTGCCCGTTTCACGTCCGTCACGTGTTAGAAACCTCATCAACGCGTCCACTCGCTCTCTTCTACCGAACCTCTAACATTATGAAGCTTTGTGCAGTGTGTTAGTATCGTTAGGAGGTTTCTGATCGTGCTGCAGTCTCATCGTCAATCATAGAATTTAAGAGGGTTCTCATTGAGGCAATCAAGGGGCCCCTCTCTGCTTGGGGCCCCAGTCAGTTGCCTCTACTGTCTTGTCACGCCCCTGCATGTCACTGATTACTGGGGATTCTAGATTTGCTCCCGGGTTCGTCCTCCGAACCTGTCCCCGCACCGATTTGTTTTTTCTAATGGTCGCCGACATGTTTTAGACCAGAAGGAAATCCAATACGTTTGTTTTGTTTTATAATATGTTCATATTATAGTTGTCTTATTTTGCTTTTTTCCAGTTTCTCTCTTTTCTTCTTCACCTCTCCGTGAATCTCGTCTTCTTTTTGTTATCTTCTCTCATCTGACTCTTCTCCTCGTGTTTCTTCATTTTTCTTCCAGGACTCCCCAGACTCTCAGTCATACTCTTCCCCAGCCTCACCCACTCTCCCTGTCCAGCCGCCTGCTGCAGCCCCGACCCCCGCCATGACGACCGCTCCGACGTCGGGGAGGTCAGGTGGGAGCGGTGCCCTGCGCAGGGCTCAGGCCCTCAGGCTGGGGGTCCTGATCGCAGAGCTGGAGAAAACGTTACAGAACCAGAGTCTGTCGGAGAAAGGGCTGAGAGCGCTGGACCACCAGATCCTGCACCTGGCGACCATACTGAAGGTACCTGTGCACGTTCACGCAGAAACCTGCTTGTTATTTTTTTATCAACGTGTCCTCGCGTCCTCCATCAGAACGACCTCTCCCTGTTGAGAAGCTCATCCTCAGAGGAGACGCTGGCCGTCGAGGAAGTCCTGGGCAGCTTTGACTTCCTGTCACGTGACTTCAATGCAGATGATGACACTTCCTGTCTGGGCAGCCTGAGACTCAAAGACAGTGGGTGAGTTTTCAGACCGAGCGAAGGGATGAATCCCAAATTCACTCCAACAACTAATTGTAATTTCTGTTGGTCAGCATCAGCTCCTTCCAGCAGAGCCTCGGCCTCCTCTCCCATCACAGCCAGTCAGCTTCCGAGGAAGAGTTGGTTATTGCCCCACTGACTTCTGGGAATTGGGGTCTTGACCAAGCTCTGGAGACTCACCTGGATATTTGCCTCATCCTGCTACAGGTACAAGATGGTCAGAGGTTTCATATCTTAATTATAACAGAAAAAACATTAGACGTGTTTTTAACTCCAGGAAATCTCAGTTTCTGGCCTTTTGAGACTCATCTTCTCGTTCTTCTCGCTCCAACTCCTTAGTTGATAAAAACGACCGACTTCGGCCTGTCGAGGACGGACCTGCTGGAGGAGACGTCTCTTCAGGCCGACGTCCTGGACAGAGTCAGCTGTCTGCTGCTGGAGAGGAACGACAACATCTCTGCTCGGGACGGTCAGTGAGGAATCTGCTTCATCTGTCTTTCTTTCCAAGCATCAGTGATGTCAATGAAGGTAACATTTACCTCCTCCTCCTTCTCCTCCTCCTGCTCTCCTCATCCTTCCTCAGTCCTCCCTAAGGCCCAGAGAACGAGGGATGTGTTGTTGTTCTGGGAGGATTGTGTGAAGGACAGCAGCTCTGTCTTCTGCTGCGACTCCAACAGCTTCATCAGGGCGCTGAAGAAACGCTACACGCACAAGGTGAAGGCCAAGCAGCCCGGCCAATCAGAGAAAGGTAGATAAGCACTTTTCTTTTGGTGGACGTTGGCTCGGGGACGGGACGCAGCTGAAAACCTGTCTCCCTCCTGTGCAGTGTTCTCTCAGCTCCTGCAGCAGGTGCAGGCGGCCTGTCGCACGGTGCCCAGCCCTCGGTCGATCTGCAGCCCGGACAGAGTCACCGTCTTCCAGCTGTCGGTGCATCTGCAGCGCTGGAGCGTCCAGGAGCTGGGAGAGCACATCTCCCGCCTCTCCAAAGAAGGTACAATTACTTTGAAGTACTACGAAGACATTGTTTTAAAATGTCGTTTATTCTAATAAAGGAAAATGAAAGCGTTGGTCAGCTGGAATCCAATCATGCAGGGAGTTACGGAAGAGATAAAAACTGTTCTAATATATTCTATTGCATGAGCGCCTGTCCATGACCATGGAGCCAGAGACACGTTGTTTGGAAACTAAATCAGTCAAAGTTATTTCTAGGATCACATATGACAGGTATCCACAGTTTGTGTTTCTAAGAATGTGGAAATGTTTGTGTATTTATGTGTGTGTGTGTGTGTGTGTGTGT